CCGTCCGATCCCTAGTCGGCATAGTTTATGGTTAAGACTACGACGGTATCTGATCGTCTTCGATCCCCTAACTTTCGTTCCCTGATTAATGAAAACATCCTTGGCGAATGCTTTCGCAGTAGTTAGTCTTCAGCAAATCCAAGAATTTCACCTCTGACAGCTGAATACTGACGCCCCCGACTATCCCTATTAATCATTACGGCGGTCCTAGAAACCAACAAAATAGAACCGCACGTCCTATTCTATTATTCCATGCTAATGTATTCGAGCAAAGGCCTGCTTTGAACACTCTAATTTTTTCACAGTAAAAGTCCTGGTTCCCCCCACGGCCAGTGAAGGCCATGGAGTTCCCCAGAAGGAAAGGTCCAGCCGGACCAGTACTCGCGGTGAGGCGGACCGGCCAGCCAGACCCAAGGTTCAACTACGAGCTTTTTAACTGCAACAACTTTAATATACGCTATTGGAGCTGGAATTACCGCGGCTGCTGGCACCAGACTTGCCCTCCAATTGTTCCTCGTTAAGGGATTTAAATTGTACTCATTCCAATTACGAGACCCAAAAGAGCCCCGTATCAGTATTTATTGTCACTACCTCCCCGAATCGGGATTGGGTAATTTGCGCGCCTGCTGCCTTCCTTGGATGTGGTAGCCGTTTCTCAGGCTCCCTCTCCGGAATCGAACCCTAATTCCCCGTTACCCGTTGCCACCATGGTAGGCCACTATCCTACCATCGAAAGTTGATAGGGCAGAAATTTGAATGAACCATCGCCGGCGCAAGGCCATGCGATTCGTTTAGTTATTATGAATCACCAAGGAGCCCCGAGGGGCATTGGTTTTTTATCTAATAAATACACCCCTTCCGAAGTCGAGGTTTTCAGCATGTATTAGCTCTAGAATTACCACAGGTATCCATGTAGCAAGGTACTATCAAATAAACGATAACTGATTTAATGAGCCATTCGCAGTTTCACCGTATAAATTGCTTATACTTAGACATGCATGGCTTAATCTTTGAGACAAGCATATGACTACTGGCAGAATCAACCAGGTATCTACCTAGGAGCTCCGGGGCCCGGCCTTGCGGCACGTCCCCCGGGGCAACACCCCCGAAGGGGCAGAAAGTAGTACACTAGAAGGGGCGAACGAGCGCCCGGCCGACAGCGGCACCCCCGGCGCACCGGGGG